GACAATATTATCCTCACAGAACTACCTGAACCTCTGACACAGTATGAGAATAACAATGTGGAAAAGATACTCCTCCTGAAGGCCCAACAATCATACAGAAAACATCTTAGAGACTCCCAGAGACTACAAAGCCTCAGGCATGTCTGCCTGCTTAGAGGACTTGACGAATCTATTCAAAGAGATATTGTGACCTACAACAAAATACTTGGATTGTTCTCAGACAGATCCACAAGAGCTGCAAGACACCGAAGAGGCAAAAGGCACATGGTGGAAGATATGGGAAAGCATTTGTATTATGGAGTGAATGAAAGAGAAAAACCTTACAATTAATGTGATCTGTTCTGCTCATTTGAGTTGCTTTCTCATGATGCTTCAAAATGTCCTTTTCAAGTTGGACTCAGGAAGGCAGGCTCCTCCAACTTAAAAACACACGACTGTCCTTCAGTTGTTGAAATAGAATCTCAAAGCCACCAAATCCCCCTCCAAACTCAGGAGTTGGCCTTGACTGTTTTTGGTTTAAATATCATATTGGGAAGACAGAATAAGAACACAAATGATATTGCACAGGAAGAAATGTGCTGTTGGAGTAAGAACACCATGCCAAGCAAAAACCAGAAAGCAAGCAGGAAGGGCTGGGCACTACTGACTCATGCATATTATCCTAATTACTCAGGAGTCTGAGATCTGGAGGATGGAGGGTCCAAGCCAGCAGGGACAAAAAAGCTAGGTAGACTCTATTTCCAAAATAACCAGCAGAAAGGAGTTGGAGGTATGGCTCAAAGTCTCAGTGCCAGATACCAGGTGCCAGTGGCTCACCCCTGTAATCCTAGCTACTCAGGAGGCTGAGATCTGAGGATCAAGGTTCAAAGCCAGACCTCAGCCTGGAAAGGAAAGTTTTTGTGATTCTTATCTCTAATTAACTACTCAAAAAATCTGGAAGTGGGCTGTGACTCAAGTGGTAGAGTGCTAACCTTGAGCAAAAAAAGATCAAGGTCAACACCCAGGCCCAGAGTTCAAGCCCCAGGACTAGCAAAAAAAAAGAAAAAAGAAAAAAAAGCAAGAAAGGGAGAACATCATGGGTTATATAGGCAAAATTCAGTACTAAAAAGCAGGTAGAGACTTTCATAATAACATATAAATAATATTCTAAGTATTACTGCAGATTTCCTTTCAGTTTCTTAATTCCCTATCAATCAACCCAACTGTCTTAAATAAGACAATCTGGTCTTCTCTTTGCCAATATTTGCTAATGAACACTGGATACGGACATTATATTTCCCAGGACATTATATTTCCAAAATTAAAATAAGAGAAAGCAGCATTACATGCCCTTCATCCACTACATAAATGCAGATCAGAGCCAAACAAAATTTTCAAAAACACTAACTCACTTTAGGTTTAAGTCAGATAGTGATTGTTCATGTTTCAAGGTTGACAAAACTCCAAGTCCAGTTTTTTCATCATTCTATATAACTGTGACAGCTTACAGAACATGAAGTTTTAAGTTGGAAAAACTAAGTAGCTAGCTTTCTAAATGCAAAAATATTTCATAAAAATACCAAAGGTATCCATGGATTCAAAAGTTTTTGCTTTTAATGATCTAGGAATTTGGTGAATAGATTGTAATGGATGTCTAAGGAGCTGAACATTCAGTATGATCACTGTTCCTATACTATCTTCAAGCTTCTATCATTTTAGCTCTTAACCTCTCAGAACTGTAACAATTACTATCAAATGACAGTATCATACACTATGTTTTCCCTTGTCTTCATAATGTTTGGAAACATGAACAATTCTGAGTCCTTTGTAACTTCTAGGGAAAAAAAACCCACAATCTTAAACAAATAAAAATATATATATTTACAGTCTGTATTTTTTTAGTTGATGATTCATTTCTATTCAACATAGAAGTGTTCACAATTTTTCAACCTCTTTTTTTGTTTTTCACATTCCTCATTTAAAAGGCAAATAGGACCAGTGGGCTGGTGATTCACATTTGTGATCTTAGCTACTCAGGAAGCTGAGATCTGAAGATCACTGTTGAAAGCCAGCTCACAAAGAACATTCTATGAGACTCTTACGTTCAAATTATCCATCAAGAGGCTAAAAGTGAAGCTGTGTATCAAGTGGTAGAACACCAGCGTGGAGTGAAAAAGCTAAGGGACAAGGCCCAGGACCTGAGTTCAAGCCCTAGTAAATGGCACCAAAATAATTAATTAATTAAAAATAAAAGACAAATAAGCAAAACAATAACAAGAGGATGGGCTTGTTTCTGCATCTCACATCGTTTATTTGTGGAATTAATGACTGCTAGAAATCAAAAATAAACAAATGAGGTTAGGAAAAAATTCCGACCTCATTGTTTTTTGTTTGTTTTGTTGGTCATGAGGCTTGAACTCTGAGTCTGGGCGCTATCCCTGAGCTCTTCAGCTCAAGGTGAATGCTTTAACACTTGAGCCACAGGGCCACTTCTGGTTTTCTGATGTAATTGAGTTGCATGGACTTTCCTGCCCCTGCTGGCTTCAAACTGTGATCCTCAGATCTCAGCCTCCTGAGTAGCTAGGATTACAGGCGTGAGCCACTGGCACCCAAACAGCCTCATTGTTTACTTCTCAAAGTTTGTAATTCCTATGCACAGATCTTCACTTGTTCAACAACCTGTGCACTTTCCTTTGTTATTAACATTACTTTATGATTGCACCTTCTCTGGTTTCAGGGAGCTCCCTCAATAACTACCCTTTATGAAAACACTTTATACAATAACACAAAAAAGTATTCTACTTCCTTCCATGAAGAAAATACAATGGTCAATGTAAGATAAACTAGAGTCTAGCAAGTCACCAACTGTGACAAGATACCAGGGGATCACACAGAAAGGATGGCTCAGTTGACTGGTAACTGAATAGGGTATCTTCTTTTCAAGCTGAAGATCTAGGGCAGCGGAAAGAGACTACCTTCGGAAATATTGCTATCTAGACCTTTCTGATACTACAAGGAGGTGCATTCTTGTTGGCACTCAGGCCAGGACAAAGATCAGAATGGCATTCGGTCTTCCATTTCATCACCACTTACTACTCTGGGGATGGGAGACTGGAGTGAAAAACTATTGCTGTAGGGTGTGTACATAGGATTTTTGTTATAATTGCAATAGTATTAAAATATCAGGTATTTAAAGAATTGCAAAGGATATGTAAAAAGTAAGTACCCAGATGTTTGAGACCTGTTTGAGACTCATGAACCAAGTCCCTCAAAATCCCAGAAAAAAAAATGAGACATTAAAAACAAGAGTAGAGTATATGTCTAGAACAAGCAGAAAAGGTCAAAAGCTATGTACATATGACCATATAAGATGATGTTAAGCAAAATGAACCCCAAGATAGAGACACAAGTGGTTTTTTCCTTTCTTGCTATTGTTTTTAACGTATTTATAATGTATTTTTTGTTTCTTTGGTATGTTCCTCCCCCATGGTATAACCCCTGTTTTCACTATATTTGATTCTGGTGCCCTGCATCTTGTATATACATTTTTCTAATTTGGGGAGGGGAAGGGAAAAAACAAAAAGCTTAAATAGGGATACAGGTTGACCCATTGTAACAATGAGATGTACAAGACATTATGTTGAAAACGAACTTTACAACTTCAGGTATGGCAGGGGGAAAGGAGGAGTTGGGGAGGTGAGGAGGGAAGGGAGGGTAGGGGATAAACAAAGGAGGGGGTAACAATGCCCCATAGGAAATGTACTCATTATCTTACTCATGTAACTGTAACCCCTTTGTACAGTATCTTTACAATAATATATATATAATAAAAAAGAACAGTAGTTGCTAGGGTAGGAGAAAGGGGAATAAACTGGTAGGATATACAGAATTAGGACAGAAAATGTGTCATCCCATGTATGACACTACAATGATAGACACTTAACATTATTCATTTTCCAAACAGAACACACAACACACAGTGAACTAATGTGAACGACAAACTCTGAGTGGTAACATGCTTTGGAACAAATGAACCTCACTGGTGCAAGGTGCTGATAATGAAACAGATCATGAATGTATGTGAGCAAGAGAACATATGGAAAAAATCTCCATACTTTGTGTTTAGTTTTGCTGCAAACTTAAAATTGCTCTAAAAAGAAAAAAAAAGTCTTCAAAAATGTCTCAGACAACTAGTCCTGGAATTCTCCCACCTGCTGAAAGAGGAAGAAAAAAGCTGTTGGAAAACTTTCACTAGGAGATTCTTGTCAGTGTCTTACGAGTCAGATTCTTATAAACCACTGCCAGAAAGCCTCATCTCTTAACATTTCCCAAGAAATAAATCTTAAGCTAAAGCTTAAAATTGCCAGGAAATACCCCAAGAGACTCCCCTCTGAGACTTCAGTCAGGTCTCTCTCCAGTGCCCTGGAGTATGCTGGCTCAAACAGCAATCTCAGGATTTAGTTATGCATTAGTCTGAAATGTCTGTCTTTATTCATCTATCACTCATCCTCAATTACACAACATTCTTCTCTGGAATTTCTTAGGAAAACAAAGCCACAACCCACTTGATGATTACAATCTAAGTTTAAACAAAAGAATATGACCAAAGACACTTACAAGTCAGACTCCTCTCCATGGACAAAATAAAACTAATACGAACAAAAATCAAGGCTCAGCAAGTGACTAATGTCACACATGTCCCAGCTTCTGTTCAACCACCTGAAATTTTCTTGCACAAAAATATGGCAGAATTGGAGAGAAAAGACTGAAAATGTTCAGATTTTGTAAGTCTAAGTCTTCTTATGAGAAGATGACACATGAGTAGAATGTATTTCATATTTCTTAGGTACTGTTTGCGATTGGCTTGCCTCCAAACCTCCCTATATTTACCTTGAAAAGATTTCCTGGGGAAGCTGTGAAATAAACATTTTTTGCCAAATGAGGAATAAATGTCTCAAAGAAAAGAAAAAAAAGCAACTTGAAACACACCACAGCAGAACCAAGCAATTCTCTGCACTTACCTGGAAAAGCATGTGGATTGGGCGACCCTCTCTTAAGGCACTTAGAACAGAGAATGTGCACGGTGTAGTGCAGTCCAGGCCATTCCTGAAGTAGAACATTCAGTTCCTCTACCAAAGGGGTGATGGCTTGCCAGGCGGTCCATATATTTGGTAATGATGCATGGCTGGCAATGGAGAGGGTGTCTGGTTGTAGAACCCCCTTGGCAGGTCTGTAACTCACCACCACCGGAACTTTCCCTCTATATGCAAAGATCTGAAACTTCCCATCGGATCTGTGTACCACATGGCTGTTGATCTGGACACTGTAGCGGGCAAACAACCCAGGTGGAAAGGTAAAGGGAAAACTATATTCAATCTGCAATTGCTCAGCCACAAAAGACTGCCCAGCTAGGTTGGTCCCATTAATCCAGGCCTCTGCGTGAGGTACTTCATTCTGCACATAGCACGGGAATTTGTACCAAGCTGTGGATCCATTCAAAGGCTTGCCCTTCGGCTTGTTGAGGCAATAACAGAGTCCCATCTTCTCCAGCAGACCCAGTAGCAGCTGCAAGTCCTGTTGGGCCTGGACATGAGGCTTAAGCAGCAATCGAATGACATGGGCTGGTAGGAGCCCATGCAACAGAAAGCCTTCCACATAATGATGGAGTTGAGTGGCCCGGAGCAGATCCTGGCTCACAGTGGGTAGAGTCATCACAGGGGAGCTTTCTCCATCACCTTCACCTTCTCCACTGGTCCCCAGGAGCAGTTTATGCAGCAACAAGGAAGCATCCCTCTGAAAGAAGACATTGAGGATGTCGATGAGGCGGGTGAGGTTGTGGAAGACGTGCTCTTTGAGGGCAGGGCTATCTTCAAAGTAGAGCAGCTTGCCGCTCTCATGCAGGTAGGAAAGGGCACTCTGCAGTCGGTCCTCCGTCAGCCCTGCCTGCAGTCCCAGGCGCGCTGAGTCCCACCAGCTCAGCCACAGGCGCTGCGCCTGAGGGGGCTGGAAATGCAACTCTTCCAGCACCTGCCAGGATCGAGGCAGGACCCTGTGTAAGTTCGGGAAGATTTCTCGGTGCTCAGCCACGGACAGCAGCTTATCCCGAAGACGTTGCAATTGACGGGGATCCCTACAGCTCACAGGCAACACTGGAGAGAGGATCTGCAGCCGGTGGTTGAGCAAGTATTGGAAGTGAGCCTTACGCCGCCTCAGGTTCTTGTCCGAAACCCCGTAATAGGCAGCATGGGGGCTGGCAGAGCGCAGCTCGAAGTCCCGCGCCAGGGCCTCATCCACCACTTGGGCCAGCCGACTGAGGCCTTCGGCATTATGCTTCTCCTGCAGGGCAATCTGACGGTGAATATCCAAGCACTTCTCCTCCAGCTCCCGCTCTCCGCACAGGTCAGCGTGTGTGCCCACTATGCACACCACCGCATGAGGCACCCTGGCCCCTACCCGATGCAAGAAGGAGCCCACCGTGGTGGGAAAGCAGCGTGGCTCGTACGTGGCCAAATTGACCACCAGCACATTCAGGGCCCCTGGGGAAAGGAAGAAGGGCTGGATCACCTCATAGCTTTCATCCCCAGCTAGGTCATACACGATGAACCGCAGGCCCCGGGAGGCATCTGCTGTCCAGCTGGTCACCTCGATGCCCTTGTTCCCAGGGGGAGGAGAAGGTGGGTAGCTCTTCTCCTTGTCCCCTCCTCCCTGGCTGCCCTCCATTCTCTCCTCTGTGAGACAGTGTCGGAGCAAGGTCTTTCCTGCGGCCTTCTGGCCCATCAGGAGCAGCTTGAGGCGAGGCTGCACGGCTGGCTGGGAATGAGCCAGCTCCTTCTGGTAGGCTGCAATGTAGGGGATCCCCTTCATGCAGACCTCGTAGGGGGGCTGGATCAGTGGATTGTCCTTAATCTTCCACAAGCCCACTCGGGAGAGCTGGCCAAAGTTATCAGGCAGCACAGCGATCTGGTTCCCTTGCAACACCAGCTCCTCCAAGCCGGTCAGCTCCACAATGGAGTCCGGCAGGTAACGGATGCGGTTATTATCCAGCCACAAGGTGAGAAGCCGGCTCAGCCCGGAGATAAGGGATGGCACTGAGGTGAGCTGGTTGCGACTAAGGTAGAGCTCCTCCAGACCAGCCAGGGGCAGCAGCGCGGCAGGGAACTCTTCAAAGAGGTTGGACGAGAGGTTGAGCATTTTGAGTCTTTGCAGGCGGCTGAACTGGGCTGGCAGAGCCTGCAGCCCGTTGTTGTCTAACATGAGGCTTTCCAAACTGGCCAGCTCGCAAAAGCCGTTGGGCAAGGTGCCAAGCTCGGCTCCACTCAGCCAGAGGATCTTGAGGCCATGCAGGTTACTGATATCCTCAGGTAGGCCTCGCAGTCGGTTGCTGGACACGTCCAGCTCCTCCAGGGCGGCCAGCTGCAGCAGCTGCGGGGGGAAGGCAGTGAGCTGATTGTGGTCCACGTCGAGGGTGCGCAGGCGGTAGAGGCAGGAGAAGGAGTCCGGCAGGTGCGCCAGCCGGTTGAAGCTGACATCTAGCTCCTCCAGGTGGACCAGGGCGCCCAGCGGGGCAGGCAGGGCGGGCAGCTGATTGTGGCTCAGGTTGAGCTTGCGCAGCTCCCTCAGGGCGCTCACCACCTCGGCGCCCAGGGTGGTCAGCCGGTTGTGGCTCACGTCCAGCTCGGTGAGGTGGTGGCCCAGCTCGGCCACCGCCGGGGGCAGCCGGACGAAACGGTTCCGGCGCAGGACCAGAACGCGCAAGCTGCCCAGAGCCAACCCCAACCCGTCAGGCACCTCCTCCAGCCCGTTGTTCCCCAGGTTCAGCACCTCAATGTCCCCGATGTTGGCCGGCAGCACGAGCTGGGGAGCGTCGGGCGAGTCGAGCTGATCGGCTGCTGCGGCTCCGGCTCCCGGGCAGCCCCCGGCCACGGTGAGGGTGAGCTGGCGCAGGTTGCTCCGCAGCTTCCTGGCGCGCAGGGCGGCGTCCCGCCACAGCCTCGCCGTCTTCAGGTTGCCACAGTCCTTCCCGGCCATGGCGGGACCCGGGCCCGACACCCTCACGCGGGCGCGAGGGCCCGCAGCTGCATGCCGGGCTGTGAACCGGCCGGCGCCCGTCTCCCC